TGAAGTTGTAAAAAAAAAAAAACCAATCTTACCTTCGCCCCTCTGCGCAAGGATGAGGCCCTAGAACGCATGGGCGGTAGGCCGTGTAGGGGATAGGTGGCGCTAAGCTGTAGGCGGTAGGTGGCGGTAGCCCGGGGCTAGGTCCCACTTGCACGAATTAAGAGATACTGACCGTAGATCGATAAAATCAACGGCCGAAATCTCCTAATCGGCGCAAGTGGGACCTTGCCCCCGCGCAGGATCAAATAAAAAAGATCCCATAGGCGATAATAGGTAGTCGGGGAAAGAAGAAGAAGGTAGTCGGCTAGCGCCTGGCGGGGGGGGCCGGCAGGGGGGCCGACAGCCCGCCCGTTCTCCCATGTCCCACGCCGGCGATGAATGCGGAGGCCCTGTCCGAGTGGCGGGAACATGATGCGCGACTACTCTTCATGAATGAATGAACGAGGTGGCTGCTTTTCTCTTTTTTCTAAAATAAAAAATTAAATTAAATTAAATTAAAAAAACAGGGCGACGGCCTTGAAAATGGCGAGCGCCTAAGGACCATAGATTGACTAAATCGATCGATGGTCCCTAGACCCCCGCCTATCGTTTAGTGTCATCCTTGCGCCGGGGCCATGCTAATCTTCTCTGTATCGCTCCAATTTTAACGGATGTCCCGAAGGACGCCTATCGTTTAGTGGTACCCTCCTACAACGGAAAGGCGCAGGTGGGACCGAGCTCCGGCCCCAGCCAGGCAATTCAGAAAGGGTTTTTTTTTTTTTTTTTTTTTTTTTTAACTGCTCCATTTATCTCAGTCTATCTGCTGGAAACTGGGTCCAGCGTCCCAACTTTAAACACTCAGGTAGTTCCATTCTTGCTGGGATCTAATTCCGAAACAAAATACTATCAGGAGGCACTACCTACGGGCCTCTTCACCCCGTTTCCAGGGCGCCAAGTATACTTATACTGTCCTAGCCTTTAGTGACCTCCTGGGCCAAATCAAAAGAGTTTCAAACAAGTTAAAACAGAATCACAGAGAGAGCCGGGACCAAGGACCTGAGCAACTGACAAGGGGGCTACTCAGTTCAAGGTGGGCGGGGGCCCATCAACCACGGTTCAATTATGATCCCACTTGCTTTCATCTTTAAGAGTTTGACACTGACTCACCATGACCTGAAGAACTTGGCTCTCGCGTTCCTTTTTTGAGCAGCTCTGTTCGTGCGCCTCCAATCAGTCCAAATCAACCTTCTGATATTGGAGAGAACCATATCCATGATAGCAATGTCTGAATAGAACTTGTTTCTGAAGAGTCTGTCGTTCCTTAGGGTCCAGATAGTAAACATTAAAGCCGCCCTACAGGAACAGATGACATAACTCCACCCCTTACCCAGTTCTTTGGAATTTACCATTATCCCCTCAATGACTAGCCTCTCATCCCACTTAACCTCTACCCCCAAATGTCTGCTCCAAAGCCTCTCCCACCACAGCCAGATTCTTTTGGATTCGATGCATTCCCCCCATAAGTGGGTTGCGGTTGCGGACTCCTCCATCTTGCATCTACAACACTGAGTCTCTACTCCCATTCCGTTCTCAGAAAGACGTTTAGCCGTGGGTATGGCTCGGTGAGTCTGGAGCCACAGCAGGCTACCAAACTTGGCTGAGGACACCTTCCTCAATTCTCTCCACAACATTCTCAGTGAGGCCGAAGAGATGGCGCTCACCCGACCAGTTCTTTCGTGACTCTCCGCTATCCACCTACTCCTAACCCCCAGTGATGTTGCACAGGGGCTAGTTTGAGCTCTATATCCAACCCTAGGCTTGTATTCCAGCAGCGGGATATCACGAGACGGGACTGCTTCCCGCCACCCCCAATGTAGGGGAAGGACTGAGAGCCTGTGTGCCGCCTCGATGCCCAAAGGGCATGTATATACCATGTTTTCTCTGTCCCGGCTTTTCTCATTTCCTTTGACCTGAACCACTATCGAGGAAATCCTATGATCCAGACGGACAACCGTCTCCTCTCCCGGTAGCAGGGTAAGTTCTGAAGAATGGGATTCACACCCCACTGTAAAAGGGGTGGCCACCGCATCTCCATTACCCAGGAGTTGCTRAATTCTCCAAATCTGAGACACCCCCTCCACTCCGACCCGCTTTACCCAATTCCCTTCATAAGCCTGGAGAGGGAATTTCAGGATCTCTTTCCAGTGGCTTGGTATATTTACAATAACCTCAGTTACCCTTGCTTCAGTCGCTCGYAGATGGTGCAACTTCGTACGCAGTTCTGCTGGAGAGCGCCATTGTCCAAGCGCGGAGTCCCACAAGTYAGCAATCCGCGACACCCCACGCTGAATCCAGGCACGGCCGAAGCACCCCGGTTCATCCTTGGCTGACCAGGGGAGRCCCTGTGGATCTGTCAGGTAYRGGTTCTCAAAGATCTGTTGGGCAAGTACTTCCTCTTTGGTTTCTGGGGCTTTCAACCTGGACGGCATGATACGACCCCAGGCCCTCAGTATCCCACTCCAGATGGGGGATTTAACAGTCGTGTGTACCAAGGAGGGGGTAAGTAGAGCCACCCAAACATCCTCCCTCCTTGTTAGGCCCCATTTCTTCACAAGCATAGAGATTGCTAGGTCCACCCAGGGATGAGAGGACCCGGCCAACAGTTTGATGACCCATTTAACTAGGAGAGCATCWATCTGGAGTTCTGGATCCAAAATCCCTACCCCCCCCTCCTCTTTGCTCCCAATTACTTTTTTCCATGCAATCTTTGCTACATAGCCCACTTCTTCCTGGATAGTGCCTTTCCACAAATATTTGATGGAGAGGGACCTTATCCTTTTATAGGCCTTCCTTTCCAGACCCCTAAGGGCACCCGGATACCAGGC